AAGAAGAAGTCCAAAGACGAGCCAGAAGGAGACTTGTATACATGAAATCACAGTTGCTTATATAGTTTGAAGGCAAAATGAAGGTAAGCTACTAAAGTACACTTGAGCCAACCAACTGAAGGAAAAACGTAAAATGCAACGGCGAATAAGCAACCGTGTATGTAAGAGCGAATCGCGTAAGTCCCTAAAAATAGCATCATTGGACTCCAAGCGTAAAGCGAACGACCATTTACAGTGACGGGCACTGGCCAATCAGAATGACGAAATGAAACGTTTAAACAAAAGTCACGAAACAAACGCGAATAAGGAATGCAGACCCAAAAGTTGAAAACTAGTACAATAATTGTGTGACACCAAATATTCCTTTAACATAACCAAGTAGAACGGTGATGAGAAGAAAAAAACCAATAGAATATGTTCTTGCAAACAGCGCTGCTGAGAAAGGCATGACAAGGAGCGTCCATTAACAATGACGCGGATGTACCAATCGGGCGAACCCAGTAGAGCGTTTAAACAACAGACAAGAAACAGAAAATAGGAAGAGTAAAGAATAGCTATCAAGCTGGGTCACAATAAATGAAAGTCTAATAGCTGTTCTCCTAATACCTCCCTCTCTTTAAAAAAACGGGTTACCTGGTGTTCACATAGGTCTTTCGACGCGGATCCACTTGGAGGGGCTGCACGAATCTTCTTGTTCTCTTTGGCCTGTGGCGAGCTCCATTTTCCCGGCATTCCACTGGACTAACGTCACCACCTGCAGGAGTACTAGGCTTGTCGGTGTAAAGCAATTCATTGACGTCAAGTCCGTTGGCTTTCGGAACGGCGGCACCATGTGTATAACGTGGCCTCAACTGATTTACGTGGCGTCTCCACACCTGTGTACCCACTTGAACATCATACATCACGTTGCCTCGGCGCCGCAGGACTCGTCCTGGTATCCATGCGATCCGCTGTCCTTGATTCGCAGCTGCAAACACAAGATCGCCCACTTTGAAAAGCCTTTTTCTGGCACCATACCGCCTGTTGTACTGACGCTCCATCACTGAATTTCGTAGTTGTAGAGACGGGCGCTTGGGGGTCAGCAAATCTAGTGTGGTTCTCAACCTTCGACCCATAAGTGCTTCAGCTGGTGATTTGCCATCTGGTGCATTAGGATTCGGGGTAACTCTGTAGTTCAACAGGAAACGTTCCAATCTTTCGTTCAACGATCCCTCCTCTTTTGACTTCCACAATGCTCGTTTCAGGGTATCCACAAATCTTTCCGCTTGGCCATTAGACTGCGGATGATACGGGGCCGTCCTCACATGCTCGATCCCATTCTGTGCACAAAATGCAGCAAATTGACAGGACGTAAACTGTGCCCCGTTATCTGACACGACTGTTACTGGCAATCCGTGCTGACTGAAGACATGTCTCATCGCCATAATTGTGCTGTTGGCCGACGTGTTTTGCATAGTGATTACCTCCGGCCATTTACTGTAGGCGTCAATAATAACGAGGAAATGCACTCCTTCGACTGGTCCTGCGAAATCTACGTGTATGCGCGACCAGGGCGATTCAGGGTTTGGCCAAGCTTGTAATGTAGAACGTACCGGTAACTTGGAGGCACTGACGCATCTGGAGCACGATCGGCCAATATCTTCAATTTGGCTATCCATCATGGGCCAAAAAACGTAGCTGCGCGCAAGCGCCTTCATGCGAGCGATTCCTGGATGGCTCTTGTGCAGTTGCCGTACCACGCGTGACCTGAGTATTTCTGGAATGACAATGCGATCTGCAAAAAACAGGCAGGAATCAACTTCAGACAACGAGTTGCGTCGTGTGAAAAACTGTGTCAATGCTTCTTTCGGGCACTTCTTTGGCCAGCCCCGTCTTGTGTAGGTTAATACCTCTTGCAGCAATGCATCCTGTTCAGTGGCTTGCTTCACCATTGTGCCAGTGACCGGTAAATTACTCACGGCGTCATGTACCATGTAGGTTACATCCGTTTCGGCTGCGATGGAGGCAATGACTGCGTCTTCTGACTCACGCTTACCGATATCGATTAATCTGGAAAGGGCGTCCGCTTGCCCTATAGAATCCGTAGACAAGTATCGCATGCTGAAATCATAACCCAAGAGCAGAGTTGCCCATCGCTGAAGTCGACTGGCCGTATATGCTGGAATCCCCTTTCTGGATCCAAAGATTGCCAGAAGCGGTTTGTGATCAGTCACCAACGTGAACCGTCGACCATATACCATCTTATGGAATTTCTGCACTGCAAAGATGATAGCCAACGCCTCTTTCTCAATCTGACTATAATTCTTTTCGGATGCCGTCAGCGCCCGTGCAACATGTGCTATAGCCTTTTCGGATCCATCTGGAAAACGATGTGAAATGACAGCACCAATTCCATAGCTTGAAGCATCCGTGGCAACAATAATCTCCAGCTTCGGGTTATAATGCGTAAGCAGTAAGTCCGACTTCAGCAGAGATTTCAGTTTCTCGAAAGACTGTTGACACTGTGCAGACCATTTCCATTCGACGTCTTTCATCAGCAGATGGTTTAGAGGATGCCGCAAGCGATGCATGCATGGTAGAAATTCACTATAGTGACTCACCATCCCAAGGAATGACCGTAAAGTTGTGACATCTGATGGCGCCGGTAACCGGTCTATCACCTCTATATTTTCGGGATCGGGTCGTCGGCCGTTCTCGTTAATTACGAAACCCAGGAACTTAATTGACTTCAGGAAAAATTTGCACTTGTCCGCTCGTAATCGGAAACCGTAATCTTTGATTCTTTGTAGCACGTCATCCAATCGTTGAAATAGCTCATCTTGCGTCGATCCCATTATTATGATGTCATCCAGGTAGGCTGCCGCTCCGGTTACACCCGTCAGCATGGCATCCATGACTTGCTGGAAGATTGCCGGTGCCGTTTTGACTCCAAATGGCAAACGGTTGTACTGGTAGAGACCGCGATGCGTGTTGATTGTTAGCAGCTTTCTGCTTTCGGGTTCAACTTCTAACTGCAAATAGGCGTCTGCAAGATCAAGCGTAGCAAAATACTTGCCTCCGTTCAGTTTTGCGAACACGTCCTCAGGGAGCGGAAGCGGATACTGATGGGGTTCCAGTGCAGCATTCAGGCCCGTAGAAAAATCAGCACACAAACGAATAGAACCGTTCGGTTTCCTGATCACAACAATAGGCGCAGCCCACGGTGAAAAATTGACTCGCTCGATCACTCCGGCCTGCTGCAATCGATCAAGTTCCTGTTCAACAAGTGCTTGGGAAGCATAAGGGACAGGACGTCTGGGTCGAAACACAGGTCTGGCATCTGGAAGCAGAGTAAGTTTTGCCTGCATTTTTTTACAGTGTCCAAGTTCCGACTGGAATACACACGCATACTTCGTTTGAAGCTGTTCAGAGATGCTTTGACCCGGAGGAGTCGGTATGGTTGTATGGTGCACCGTGACATTCCTTTCAGCACAGACACGATTCAGTGGTACATTAAACAAGTTCAGCTTTTCAATCCAGTCGATTCCGAGAAGATTGACGTCGGTGCATGAGACTAGGTAGATTGTGCCGCGTAGATGTAGTTCCTTGAAGTTGACCTCACATTCAATCTCTCCATCCAATCTCAGCGGTTCCCCGGATGCATTCTGAGCCGTTAGAGTTGTGCGCTTGAATGCCGGTCTTCCAAGCTTCCTCCAAGTGGATCGCGAAATGATTGTGATGTCGGACGCCGTATCTAGTTGCAAGGTGACTGGAATACCATTGACTTTTACTGTTAAGTACTTTCTCTTGCCTGCGAATTCCGTGCGAAATGCAGCGAGAACTACCTTTGTGGCCGGTCCATGAAATTTCGCCCTTCTGAAGTTGATGTTTGTGCGCAACCTCGATGGAAATGAACGTCTGAAATTGTGCGCAACTCGACAGTGGGTTTCCTTATGACCAAACCGCTTGCACTTGTGACATTGATGCCGTTTGTAGATACAGTCTCTCACAAAATGCCAAGCGCCACAATTCCAGCATGCGGTCGGGGGCTTCTGAGTTGACCGATTCTGGTTCATCACTTGACCACGGATAGCTGTGCGACAAATCTGGGGTTCTGTCCTGTGGTCAGCAGTTTCAATCATTTTTGTGTCGTGCTTCAAGTTAATCAGTCGCTGGCATTCGGCTGTAATCTCTTGCAGCGTCAACTGTGGTTCTTGTTCGAGCTTGTGGAGAATACGTGTTCGAATATCGGCATCTGCGTGTGACTGGAGACTGCACACGAAAATAAGACTCTTGAATTGATCAGGTGTCATCAGACCCAGTTTGAATCGTTCACATTCGCGATTTACGATCCCGGCATGTGTGACAAAATCAACGGCATCACGTTTGACTAACTTCAAACAATTGTAGCGAACACTGAACAGAGAGGCCTGCTCACCGAATATCTGCGTCAGCGTTTTCACCGTCTCATCGAAGCTGAAGTCTCTTGCATTCTTCGGCAACACGAAATTTGTATAACGTTCATGTTCGACTGCGCCAAGTTTCCTCAACAGCAAACGAACTTTCCAGGCATCGTCTTGGTCTGCAAGTTCCACTCGAAAAATATCTTCATACTTTAAGAACCAGGATTCAAATGTCAATCCGTTCAATCCATCGAAAACAAATTCTGTGATTGAAGCGGCAAGGGCGTCCACCGATGGCCGTGCGGTTGTTGTAGGGGATTCGCTTTGGATGTTCAGCTTTTGAGATAGCAACTCGATCAATTGTCGTTGAGATTTTTCAAACTGGAGTTGTTGCTGTTGAAGGAGCGTCTGCATCTGCTCGAACGAGATCGACATGATTACCGGAACCTCCGTCGCCAGAAAATCTGTTGTGTCGCCGCTGATGCCTTCACCCCACGACCGCAAGAAGAAGTCCAAAGACGAGCCAGAAGGAGACTTGTATACATGAAATCACAGTTGCTTATATAGTTTGAAGGCAAAATGAAGGGAAGCTACTAAAGTACACTTGAGCCAACCAACTGA